AAAAAAAAAAAAAAAGAGAGAGAGAGAAAGAAAAAGATGAAGTGGCAGACATCTCAGTATCCCTGGAGAGGGAGCTGCTCCAGCTGAGAACAAACAGTGCAGATATTAGGTATGTTAGTTACTCTTACTTCTGCAAGGCTCTGAGAGGCTTGGGTTCCCCCTTTCCTGCTGCCCGAACACTCATAATTAATTTACAATTTCAGAGTGACACTTGTATAAGCCTACAGACAAACCCATGATTGCAAAGCCCACCTTTGGGCATAAAGCAACGTCAGAGGCAGCAAAAGGGTTGTGATGTCATGAATAAAACTATAGCTTAATAAAAAGTACTATGTAACTGGTCCAAAAGCTTCACTCTGCTGGAAGAACAAAAAGTAGGAGTATGAAAAGTAGCATAATGTAAGCCAAGAAATAGGTAAATTACTGCCTATAAGACGACTGAATTTAAAGGACATGCTTTCTGTTCTCAGAAATCCACAAGGGAAATGAAAAACCAATCAAATTAAAATGAACATAAACAAATGGAAGCAATTATACATGGCATGGGAATACCCTTTTCTCTGCTTCCTTCCCCTACTTTGTTCCATCTAGCAGAAATCCCTGCTTCAACATGTGAGGAAACCCTCCTTTTTTGTGAAATACTTGTTAATAGAATCCTCATAGGACTGAACAAGAGAGACCAAAAATACAAAATACTATTTGTTATAGAAGTCTTTTCTTCCTGCAGAGGTGAAATCATCTTCTAGAAATTCTCTCGGGTCCAGAAAGTGCATGGATACTGAGCTAACCCCATAAATCAATCATCCCTTTAGTAAAATGGAATCCCCAAAGCTCAAAATATTAGAGAAAGCAGAGTGACTCCCATTTCAGAAAGTAGCAGAAGGAAAGCAGGAAGTCTGTGGAACCATGAGACACACTGAACAGACACCCTCAAAAGGCAGCTCCTCACCTGGGTTACAATGGCATCAAGCCCTGTCTGACCCCAGGCATAGTCCCCAGGGTTGGAGTGCAGCATCCCGCTCCTATACATGAGATGAGACAGACAGCATTAGATGGAGTGACCAGGCTCTGCCTTACACCACAGAAAAAAAATTGGCAGAGGGATCCTGTTCTCTCTCAGAGTTGGAAAGTCACTAGTCCTCCAGGATCAAGAGGCAAAGAATTCTGTGTATGTTCAAGATCAAACAGATTATCTAGAGATAGTTATCTCATTCTCCAGGAATTTTACTTAACTAGAACATAAAATGTGAACCTACCTAAAGTGCCACACGACATGCCAGAACAAAAAGAGTGACTCATTGCCTGTTGGTTTCAAAAATTTGTCTTTTCTGTGCCCACTTATATTAAATACAGATGGAGCTGCTTTTTAAGGAGAGTTTTCCTTCACAACTGGTCAAAATCTACACCAAACATCCCTCATTATAAGAAGCCACCCACAGTTCTGGACAATGAGGAGCTTTCAAGCAGAGAAGTAGCCATAGCAGTCTCTCTGAATCACAACTTAGAGCCATTGCAAAAGGGACTGGCAACACCTTCTCTCCCACCCCCCCAGCTGCTGGTATACTACCAGCAGAGGTCCAGACTACTAGATGCCACCCAGAGGTCCTAAAAGGACTGAGGTTCCTTTGAACAAAGAAGCCTTCTGGGCCACTGTTAGAAGCGGCAAATAATTTTCCAGACAAGAAGAAATTCCATCTTTAATGCCTATCATACATAAGCGTCACTCTGATACTGAATTATAGCCTATTGTTTCTTCTGACAAATCTTCTCACTTTGAAAAAATAAAGTTCAGCATAATGTTTTCAATTTCAGAAATTCTTAAGGCATAAAATATTCCTATGTCGTCTACAGGGGAAACCTACAAATCAGATACCAAGCCTGGCAGGGACCATGTCATTCCCTACCTCAACACAACTCTCAGACCTGAATATAAAAGGAATCAAGACCTTTCTAGCACCCAAACATCCTGGGGGACCAGAACGGCTCTCTCCTGAGCCTAAACAATAAAAAAACAAAAGTTCTGATTAAGTTTGGGCTTAGCAGATAATGGCAGTCTAGCAGCCTCCAGTTACATCTACATACTCACCTATGCAGCTCTTTTTCTCTATTGCACAGAAATGACAGCACCTAATAAAACGATGCCACTCCAATAGAGTAAGATAGAAAACAGTTAAGTTACTTACCAGGAAAAAGGGTGTGGAGATCCAGGAATGGCAGAATTTGCAAAGAATCCTGCAAAGATGTGTTGTAGTATTCTGTTAGAGAAGAAAGAATTAGATAAGACAACAGACTAATGAAAGTACTCTACAGATATCCATGGCTGCCTAATCACCAACTACTTCCCTAAACCAAAACCAAACGGCTTTTCATTGGCTATTATCCAAGAGACAGCACCAGAAATCAGCCTGCCACACAGCAGTGTGCTATTTTGTTATTATGGCTATCTTCCTGAGCTCTGCTAACATTTTTTTTTTTTTTTTAACAATAACAGATGGGGTTTCTCCATGTTGGCCAGGCTGGTCTCGAACTCCTGATCTCAGGTGATCCGCCCGCCTCAGCCTCCCAAAGTGCTGGGATTACAGGTGTGAGCCGCCGCGCCCAGCCGCTCTGCTATCTTATAAATTAATAGATTTTTGTGAATTACGCTAGAAGGGGATCTGATGGTGTAGTCTAGTTTTCAAACTATGTTTCTTGTATATCTGGCATCAATATGAGGAAGGGTTAAAAGGGATGCTGAGCCACTGGAATTCTGGACCCACCTCCCTTTAACAAGGGTAGTTCCATTTTTGTATGTTGTACACATTGGGTTTCTCAATATCATTTAAAGGGTGCCTTTTAAAAAAACAAAAAAAGTTTAATCAATAATTCTATTTTAAGGTTGTTTCCTATGATTATGACACAAACACATATAAATACACACATGCTTAGCATTTGTCACTGAATATTTAAGATGGCACAGGTACACAGTTCTTTATACAAATGAGTCTTTTTTACCCAAAGAGATACTGAAGTGATGCCTCAGCAAAAGAAAAACCTGAAGAAATTGTTCTCTTAGATCTTCTGTGTTCTGGATGATCTGATTTTTTTTTGGAGACGAAGTCTCACTCTACCACCCAGGCTGGAGTGCAGTGGCTCGATCTCGGCCCACTGCAACTTCCACCTCCTGGGTTCACGTGATCCTCGTCTCAGCCTCCCAAGTAGCTGGGATTACAGGTGCCCACCACGCCCAGCTAATTTTTTGTATATTTAATACAGATGGGATTTCACCATGTTGGCAAAGCTGGTCTCAAACTCCTGACCTCAGGTGATCCTCCCACTTCAGCCTCCCAAAGTGCTGGGATTACAGGCGTTGAGCCACTGCACTCGGCAATTACATGCAATTTTAAGTCCCTGGTTCCCACTTTACTTATTAGGCCAACTAACATAGCAAGGGTAGTACACTTTCCCTGGTATTAAAGTTCAACAGCAGCTAACTACACTGTTCCATTTGTTTGTTTGCTTGCTTTTTTGTATTATTTTTCATTATTTTTAACTGACAAAAATTGTATATATTATGGTATACAACATATTTTGAAGTTATGTACGCACTGTGGAATGACATCAAACTATCAACATATGCATTACCTCACAAAGTTATTTGCAACAATAACACTAAAGATCTACTCTCTTAGCAATTTTCAAATGTACAAAACACTGGTTGTTGTTTTGTTTTGTTCTGTGACGGAGTCTTGTTCTGTCACCCAGGCTGGAGTGCAGTGGCACAATCTCAGCTCACTGCAACCTCCGTCCCCCAGGTTCAAGCAATTCTTGAGCTTTAGCCTCCCAAGTAGCTGGGATTACAGGCACACACCACCATGCCAAGCTAATTTTTGTATTTTTAGTAGAGATGGGGTTTCACCATGTTGGCTGGGCTGTCAAGTAAGCCGCCTGCCTTGGCCTCCCAAAGTGCTGGGATTACAGGCATATGCCACCGCATGGGTGAAAACACTGTTATTAACTACAGTCACCATGTTGTGCAACAGATCTCTTGAACTTTTAACTGAAATTTTGTGTCCTTCAACAACTATCACCCTAATTCACGCCCTCTGCCCTACAGCCCCTGGTAACTACCATTCTATTCTCAGCATCTATAAATTCAATTTGTTTTTTAGAATGCTTAGTGTTATTTTTAAAATATGTCCAAAAATTATTTTATAATCTTCCCTTGAGTATGGGCTGGACTTAGTGACTCACTTTACAATAGAATATGGCAGAATTGATAATCTGTGACTTCCAAGACAAGGTCAAAAAAAGGGGGGAAATGGCCAGGTGCGGTGGCTAATGTCTGTTATCTCAGTACTTTGAGAGACCTAGGTGGGCGGATCACTTGAGGTCAGAAGTTCGATACCAGCCTGGCCAACATGGCGAAACCCTCTCTCTCTACTAAAAGTACAAAAATTAGCCAGGCATGGTGGCAGGTGCCTGCAGTCTCAGCTACTCAGGAGAATGAGGCAGGAGAATCACTTGAACCCAGGAGGCAGAGGTTGCAGTAGGCCAAGATCATGCCATTACACTCCAGCCTTTTTGGTTTTTTTTTCCCTCAAAAAAAGGGGGCGGTGGTGGGAAGGTGTTTTCTCCTGGTACTTCTGTTGGATCAATCACTTGCTCTCGGAGAGTGCCATATCAAGCAGTCCCACAGAAAGGTCCACGTGATGAGGAACTGAGTACTCCTTCCAACAGCCAGAACAAAACAGCCAGAATATGTGTAAAGCCTAATCAGTCCTGTAGATGACTACAGCAGTGGCCAACATCTGACTGTAAGCTCATGAAATCCTGGGCCAGAACCACTCAGCTATGCTATTCCAACTGAACCTGTTCCTGATCACGTGAATCTGTCAGATAATAAATATTTGTTGTTTTAAGCCACGAAGCTCTGAGATAATTTGTTATATGGCAATAGATAACACAGATTTTGGTATCTGGATACGGGTGCTGCTATAATAAAGACCTGCAACACGAGAATATCTATGGCACCCAGCAGGTGGGCAGAAGTTAGAAGGACTTTGAGGAGCGGATCAGTGAAGTTTGAAGAGCCTGGAAAAAACAGTAGAAGCACCACGGCCTTTGAGGAAGTTAGGGTGAGAGATTAAGAAAATGCAGAAAAAAATCTTATTAGAAACTGGAGGGAAAGGGATCCTTGTTATATACTGGCAAAGTTGTTGCCTTACCATAACATGGAAAGCAGATGTGGTCCACAAACTGGTTGATAATCTAGCTAAAGAGATATCCACTTTTGAAATTACCTCTTGGTTTCTTGCTGCTCACTTTAAAATGCAAAAGAGGGATGAATTCAAGGAAGGACAGACAAATTGTATAATTCTGAGAATCCCCAGCATCTCCAGATAGTAAATGATACTAAAATTAAGAAACAGATTTCAAACAAAGATTGAATCCAGGGAACCGCCAAAAGACCAATTTCAGATGAAGCCGAGGATTAGGCTAGAACAAGTCTTTGTTAAGACCTCAGAAAGGGCCTGGTGTGGTGGCTCATGCCTATGATACTAGCACTTTGGGAGGCCAGTGTGGTAGGATCACTTGAGGCCAGGAGTTTGAGTCCATCCTGGCCAACATGAAGAAACACTTTTCTACTAAAAATCCAAAAATTAGCTGGGCATCCCAGCTACTCAGGAGGCTGAAACATGAGAATCACCTGAACCTGGGAGGTAGAGGTTGCAATGAGCCAAGATTGCACCACTGCACTCCAGCTGGGTAACAGAGTGAGACTCTGTCTCCAAAACAACCACCACCACCTCAGAAAGATTGAAAATGGTACCTAAAGAATCATTCAGTTAGAAAATTGGACTAAGCTTAAGAGTGTTGTGTTAGTTTCCTAGGGCTGCTAAAACGAACCACCACAAACTGGGTAGCTTAAAACAAAAGGAATTTATTTGCTGTTCTGGAGGGTGTCAGTAGGGTTAGTTCCTTCTGGAAGTTCTGGGGGAAATCAGTTCCATGACTCTTTCCTGGCTTCTGGTGGTGGCTGCCAGCAATCTTTGCCATTCCTTGGTTTGTAGACCTATGTCCCCCCAATCTTTGCCTCTGTCATCATATGGCTTTCTTCCCTGTGCCTTCTGTGTTCATGTCCAAATCTGTACCTTTTTTTTTTTGAGGCAGAGTCTCCCTCTCACCTGGGCCGGAGTGCAGTAGTGTGATCCCAGCTCACTGCAACTTCTGCCTCCGGGTTTATGCGATTCTCATCCTCAGCCTACTGAGTAGCTGGGATTACAGGCATGCACCACCATGCCTGGCTAATTTTTTTAATTTTTAGTAGACATGGGGTTTTACCATGCTGGCCAGGCTGGTCTCAAACTCCTGACCTCAGGTGATCCACTTACCTTGGCCTCCCAAAGTGCTGGGATTACAGGAGTAAACCGCCGCACCCAGCCAAATTTCTCTCTCTTTTAAGACTTATCAACCATTGGATTAGGGCCCTTCCTGATCCAGTATCATCTATTATAACTTGGCTACATCTGTAAAGACCCTATTTCCAAACAAGGTCGCATTCACGTGACCTTATCAGGTTTAGGACGTGAGCACAGCTTTCTGGGGGACACGACTGTACCCACTACAAGTGGAATCCCTCAGCAATTCCAGCAGAAGCCCAAGGTGGAAAACGCCTATTTAGAAGAGATTTGTGGGTGTGGCTTTTGCCAAATGGCATGAATCCCAGTAAGATTCACAGGATACTCCAAGTTTTAAAAAGAAACACTGCCAGCCTAAACGGAAAGGTGCAAAAATAGCACAAAATGAAAACAGGTCTTTGGGCCCTCAAATTTCTACCAGCAAGAAGCAAGCTAAGAAAACTATGCAGCTACAAATTTACTTTTAATGGAAAAGAACGGATGACTAAAAGGGTGGACTCCAGAGTCACAGAGAACTCCTGGGTAGAAGTGGAAGTTAAGTCCCAGTCAAGGAACTTCTGACATCTGTCGAGACAACTATCAGAATTGCTATGAACCAGCAACTTCTTTATGCCTCCATTTTCCCTTTTGGAACAGGAAATCTCTATACCTGTTCAAAATCACTGCCTGTCCACATCACTGTATGTTGGGTATGTGATGGGCAGATAACTTGTCTCTTTAGTTCACAGGTCCTCATATCAAAAGGAATTGTACCTGAGGAACTATACCCAAGGAGCCATGCCCATACTTGGACCTGATTAAAGGACAACTTATATTTATAATATAGGACAACCTACCTATATTTCAAGCAGATG